GATTGGGCTCAATGTATTTGCTTATTTTTCTGTCCGTGGTTGCCTGATGTTTTTTGTCTTTAAAACCATCATTTCAAATGTTCTGTTTCGTGATGGTTTGTTTTTTTCTTATGGCAGAGTTAGGCTGGTCCTTTTTGTTCATATACGTCTGAAATAGTCCACATTGTCCTTTAAAATGTTTAATGTTGATGTCAGGATTTCTTCTATTCTGACTAAACATTATCTGGCTGAGGAAAGTTATCTACTTGCATAGCTTTGATTATAATTTGAATAGAAATGACTCCCACACTTATGTCTCTAACTCAAATCTCTCATTTGAATTCTAAAGGCATTTTTAACCACCAAATCTACAGTTCCACATAAAAATTTCACAGACAGATCAAACTTGGCATGTCAAAAAATGAACCCATGCTCAACCCACCACTTACTTGGTCCGTTGGATTTTGTGTCTCAACAAATGGCATCATCATCTGGAAGAAACCTGGAAGTCAGCCACGACTCTGCTTCCATCCCTAAACTCAGACTTAATCATGAAGTCCTGTTGAGTCTACCACCATAAATATATTTTAAAACCTTTACATGGTTTCTTTCCACTACCCCTCATCTCACTTCCTTTCAAAAATCCCCTGTTTGGGGTTAAACTGTATCCCCAAGAAAGATATATTGCAGTCCTAATCCGTAATACCTACGAATATGACCTTATTTAGAAATAGGATATTTGCAGATGCAATCAGTTAAAATGAGGTCATTAGAGTGGGCTGTATTCCATTATGACTGGGGTCCTTGTTGGAAGAGGAGAAGAGTACAGAGGCAGACACACACGGAGAAGAGAAGGTGAGGACATACAGGAAGAGCGCCATGATGATGGAGTGATATGGCCAACAAGCAAGGAGCTCCATGGATTGCCAGCAACACCGGAAGCTAAGAAAAGGACATTGAACAGATTTTCCCCTAAAGCATTTAGAGAGAGCATGTCCTGCTGAAACCTCCATCCCAAACTGGGAGAGAATAGATTTCTGTTATTTTGAGCCACTCCGTTCACGCACTCTGTTGTAGCAGCCTAGGAAACAAATCCACTCCCATTTCCATCACCTGATTTCAACAAGAGCCACTTAAGCTCCTGTGTGCCACCAGGTATTGCGCTTAGCCCCTTTACATGCTACTCCAGGCAGGCGTCAGAGTGGTCTTGTAACAAAGCAAATTGGAAGGTGTCATTGCCCTTCTTCAAACTTTTAGTGGCTCCTTATTATTTTAAGGATGCTGTCCAGGATCTAAAACATGGTCTAAATGGACCTCAGTAATCTGCTCTCCATCCTTTTCTTCATATGCGCTCACTCACTGGAGTGTTTTGTCACTTCCTCAAAGTATTCTAGTCTCCCTTGCTCCCTAGTTGTCCCGCACCCTGTTCCCTCTCCTTGGAATACTTTTTCCCCCAAACCCTCCTGCTTCATTTGGTTAACGTCTGTATATTCTTCAGATGACACTGCCTCAGAGAAACCTCTCCAGAATATCTGATAACAAAATTGCATGCCTATTTCTGGGCAGCTCTCTCACCCCGTTGACCTATATAGTGTCATATGTGCACCATACAGTGTGCTTATTTGCTTGATTTGTATAATGAATAAGACGTAGTACAAAATATTCTTTGGATGCAGTATTCATGAATGCTCTCAGTTTCCAGATCTCAGTATCTACTATTTTCTTTCCTTTTTTTTTTTTTTTTTTTTTTTTTTTTTTTTTTGAGGAGTTTCGCTCTTGTCACCCTGGCTGGAGTGCAATGGTGCGATCTCGGCTCACTGCAACCTCTGCCTCTCAGGTTCAAGCAATTCTCCTGCCTCAGCCTCCCGAGTAGCTAGGATTACAGGCACCCACAACCAAGCCTGGATAATTTTGGTATTTTTAGTAAAGACGGGGTTTCACCATGTTGGTCCAGTTGGTCTCGAACTCCTGACTTCCAGTGATCTGCCCACTTTGGCCTCCCATAATGCTGGGATTACAGGCATGAGTCATGGTACCTGGCCTCAGTATCGACTATTTTCATACAGCTTCTAATTCTTCATTCTCTCCCCTCTCCATTACAGATCTACATTTCCAAACAATTCCATGGGTAACCTTAATCATCCAAACCCTAAAACCTCAGAGTATTGGATTACGGTGGTCAGGAATTAGGGTAAGAGGAGAATGGAGGAAAAGGAGAGAGAACAGAGAACCCATGAAAGCCAGAAGAGGGCAGGGAATAACACAATTTTGCCAGCTGATTTTGAAAATACCTGGAGTCTCACATATATGCAATTATTGCTCAATTATTTTGCACATGAACCAAATCAGTAAATGGACTGGCTTCTGCTCTTCATCCATTCCTCACGGTGCACTCCTCTCCTTCCCTAGACTTTTGCTATTGTTCTATACTAAGGCCATGTTCTTTTTTTTAATGATCTAATTCATATAATAATATTCTGATGATGGAGCAGGAAATGATGTGATTTATCCTGTATCTTTATCAGAGCATCTGAGTTCTGTGTTCTGTAAGAGACGGGACTGGCAAAAACTTTTAACATTCACTGCCTTTGGAATTTACATTTTAGAAACCATTTCCTCTCCCTGATACCTTTTCCCTTTGTTCCTACAAAATATACCTAAATGTGTTAAGGCAGAAACTCTAAAATTATTACAGGAGAAAGAAAAAAAAAACAGCTTGTAAGAAAATAATCAAATGCTAGAGGAAATAAAGTAAATAATCATTACTTGAAGTGAAAACTAGAAAATTAATTAACCAATTTTGAAAATATACTATATACTATTTTAAAATAAAAGTCTTACATAAAATAGTGAATTCCAAATACCTTCTTTTGTTTGGGCTAAACATAAAATATTTATAGAAAATTGATCATCAAAGTCCTGTTTCTATAATTGCCTGACATTTATTTCAACATTTCGGATACAGCAAATGGAGTGACCAATGTCAACAGACAACATTTAAAAAGCCATTTCTTTGAGATTTAGAATACTTTTGCCATCCCTGGGGACATGCTTTGAATCTGGCAGGAACATTAGCTGATCATGCTGCTTCAATCTGACAGCTTCAGATTTTTAACAGGGGAAAAAGGCAGAACTAATGGATGTGAATAAGCTTAAAAGCACGGGAACTTATCAATCACAGTAAACAGCTGTATTTTGGGAAGCTAACAGAGGTACTTCTAAAAACATAAAAAGTCAATAGATATATTTCTGGCAACTAATAATTTCAATCTGGTCTTCTTCATTTGTCCCTCCTCCAACCCCCAATCTGCCTACCTTCTGTTTTGTTTTGTTTTTTTTTTAAAGTATAATATTCTTGTCAGCATTGATTAACATGAAAACATTCTCCTCACATGCACCATTCTGCTTTCCAGAAGGAAATAACACAGTATCTAATTTTATGAAAAGATAACTCAAAAGATGAATGAAACAAATCAAATTATTAACGTGATTATAATCATTTTCATCCTGTTCTGATTTTTATAATAGAGGACGTGTACACACAATGCTATTTATAATTGGCACATTATTGGGTAATGACTATAACTATTTATCTTTTTGTTCAACCTCAGGCACATAACGTCTTACGTATATATTTCAAAGAGCTTGAAAACACAATTATCTGTTTTGCTTTACAATTATTTCAAAATATTCCACTATTGTATTCCTCCACAGAGGCCTCTAACCCTTTATTTTCCAGAACAGATTCGCTTTTGAAGAGATTACTAGTGTGACAATGTTTCAAGCAGCACAATAAAACCCTGTTTCCTCCACTGGAAAAGTGAAAATTTAATTTTATTCTCTAGCCTTCTAAAGGATTAGGTGAGGATCAGGCCAAGTCATTAGACATTAGAATCCCATGAAGAAAATGTCCTCAATATGGAGTCCTTAAGGATACAAACTTGTTTCAAATACTGTGATGGTAATTTCTCACACTGAGAAGGTACTTTTCAATCAACATGACTTGACTGTTTGGGGTAGAACTTGAAAGGCATCAAGATTAATTTCTTTCTATGCACAAGGCACTACATCATTTGCTAAGGATAATAGGACACACAACACAGTCATGCTCTGATGAACTGACTATTCACCAGGAGAGACAAACAGTGTGAACACACCTATTGCATTACAGTGTGGTGGAGTCCGGATACTGTGGGTAGTACTCACAAGACGGTGTGATTAACTCTATTACTTAGTGTGTCCAGGAAATTTGTAGGTTGGAAGTAATATCTGAGCTGGGATTTTTAAATGCGTTATTTTCCTGGTAGAGAGAGTAACATTTGCATGTAAGATGGATGTCAAGTTTAATGTCAGGTTTAATAGCATGAGGTCTGAAGCCAGCTGCCTGAATTTGAATTCTGGCTCCAAAATTATTTAACTGTGTGACTCTGCAAAAGACACTTAACCCCAGTATTTCAGTTTCCTCATCTGAAAAATTAGGTTTAATAATTAAATTTACTCATTTCAAAGCCTTCTGTGGTCACATCAGGTTTGAATCAGGTCTGCTGGGCTTTTCTGTTAGATCATATTCCAGCAATTGTTTTGCAGACAGAGTATTTTATCTGTATTTTTTAATGTTTTTCCCCTCGAAGACAAGTCAGATAGCTTTCCCCAATAAGTAAAGTCATATAAACCCAGTTTTTAAAACTTCCTGAATAAGCTAGACTTGTTTAATGTAAGCCTTACAGAATCTGTGGATAAACATCCTCAATTCTCAGGCAATCCCCACAATTCTTTATGCTTTTTCACAGTCCTTCTTTGAAACTATATTTAAATATATAGTTGTGGCAGATAGACCCTAAGGTGACCCACATAATCTTGACTTCTTGGTGGTCACACCTTTGTATAACCCCTTTCTCTTGAATGTGAGCAGAAGCTGGGACTTCTAACCAATGGAACATGGGAAAGGTGATGAGACGTGATTCCGGTGATGAGGTTACATTATCCAAGACTTGGCCAACTGAGACCAGATCTCCTTACAGGCTTGAAGCAGTCATCAGCCATGTTGGAAAATTGCTCATGGCAAGGAACTATGAGAGGCCTCTAAGGACTTCAGGTAGCATCTAGAATGAATGTGGACGTACTACTACAACCAGCAAAAAGACCAGTCATGCAACCACAAGGAATTAACTTCTACCAAAGCTGAATGGGTTTGGAAGCAGACTCTTCCCAGCCAATCCTTCTGATGAAAATATAGTCTGGCCAACATCTTCACTGGACTCTGATGGACTCTATGCCTGGAACCCAGCTGATAAGACATGGTAATACGTTTTATAAAATCACATTTTTATGAGGATTTGTTACACAGTGACAGAAAATAATACCACAGGTAATCAAAATCCTCTCGTTTGGTAATATTTCATCACTAAATTATTATTGGAAGTTACACATACTGCTTTGGGAGCTATCATAATCAGTAAAATAATGGAAATTCAAAAGTCCTGTGAAGTTTTTTGAATAGTTAGTGAATTTATGAGGGAAAATATTCAAGTATATTAATTTATCTCAAATAGTAATGATGTCTCCCCTTGCCATTGTTATGGATTTATGTATCTGATACATGTAACATTACATTTTCAATCAATACTATTGATGGACCCTTCCCTACTTTTATAATTTCTAACTATAGTTTTAGGGAGAATACTATTAATTGAAGTATTACTTTTATTTTTTCTATAAATTCTTCGAGAAATATGTATTTCTTATGTCCTTTCTAAGGTTATTAACAAAAAGAAAATAATATTTCTGAATTATAATTCACTTTCCTTCAAAAAATAGTAACTCAGTGTCTAATAAGGTATAGCAAAAAAGTTAAAAGGACTCATAAGTTTATTTAAAAACACCTACTCTGAAGCAAAACTGACTTTCTATTAAAAATAAAACAAGTTTTCTTATTATTGTTTTGTTTCCTTGTTTTTAGGTGATAGGATTGTATTTGCAACTATCTGGTCAGTAAGTGATAAAATGCCATTTCCATGCACCCACCTGGCCTGTGTAACTGGGAGAACCTCTCTTTTAATTAAATGTGCTTCAAGTTTTAACAACTGACTTGTGTTAGTGATATGATTAATCTGCCTGTGACTGTCAAACAACACAGATGATTTGCATATCTCACCTCAGCAAAGATAGATGCCTCATCTTGGGATGAAATACAGTTAATTCTTCTAGAAAAAAACAAATAGAAAGAAAAGAATGAAATGTTCTGTAGATATGAAATGAAGTCTTCTGCCTTAATGGAATTGTATCATTATAGATAGCTTACTTAGTACTGAGAATGTAATGTTACAAATGAGGCCATTTATTTTTACTCTGATGTATCTGAGACTCAAGTTAAATAAGTTACTTGGATTTCATTTAACCTGATAGGAATACATTCACATGCTGATAGCTCGAAATCAGCACGTTAGAGACCATGGTCAAATGTTGAGTCTTTAGAAGTGACTTCCTGTGATCAAGTTCCAGTTCTATCTCTTACTTTCTCATTGTGTAATCTTGGCCAACTGTCATAATCTCTCTTAGCTTTATAGAGTCGAAGGTGGTGTTTAAACGAAACAAAATATTCCCAGTGCTTAACACAAAGCCCTCCACATATAAACCCTCCGAACATATTCATTATCATTAGTTTACATAGAACTCTCTCCTATGCAAATTAAAGCAGATTCACTACAATGTCTTTCTTCCTCATATTTGTTTTTCAAATAATTAACCAAGAAAATACATTTTACAAGTTTGGACCATCAGGTTTTTTTGTTTTTTGTTTTTTGTTTTTTTTTTTGAGTTTTTGTTTGCTTGTTTATTCTGTTGTTGTTAAGCAGCTTAGAAAAAGCAAATATTCAATATGTAGGTATATTCTTAGGAAATCTTTAGGCTGATCTATGATTCCATATAAGGTTTAAGTCAACAAATTCACTTTTAACTTACAGTTATCCCCCATGAAAGGAAAATATGAAATATGGATACAAGGATAATAGGCTAAATGTCCAGGAATGAAATGGAGTACTGAACTCCAGATTCTCTGTCAATGCTAGAAGAATCGGAGAGCAGTTTCATGAGCTTTAGCAGAAGAGACGTTCACATACCATACTTGGTTATCTTTGCATGAGATTTTGCAGTAATAGAGTAAATTTCTGAGATGGTTCTTTATAATTCCTGAAGATAATTTCTATTCATTCTCTTAGGAGTTTTTGTTTTCTGAAACTGGAACATTAATGGCCGATACTGGGTTTCTGAATAAAAAATACTTTTTATCAGAAATATAATTATATATGTAAAAAATAAATTGGTAGTTTTTTTGTGCGCATTAGCAATGGTGGAATCATAATATTGGACACACAAATATATCAGCACTTAAGAGTTATTCAACATATCTTAAGTTTAAAATTATTCTATGCGGTCAGAGTCTATCTACCAGCTGTATGCAATATCGATATGCATATGCACACTTTGTACAGTTAGAATGTATATATTATACTCAGACATGTATATTATACTTAAACATACTATATATGTACTAGTAAACAAATATGTAAATCCATATAGTCCAAAGATACAGAAAGAACAAACATACATACAGAGTCTTACCTATGTTGGAAGTGTTACTGGAGCACAGATTAATTCACACACAAAAATACCACTACCTTTTAGATAAAGCATAAAGTTGCCATTAAATCAAAACATAATATTATTTGTCATATAAAATGGTTATAAGGAGAGGTCATTCTTTCTATAATAAATATGAGGTAAGCTAATAACAGAAATAATAAATGTGAGTTCAGTCTAATGTGACAACTTCTGGATTTTTAGTAAACTTTAAGTATTGACATTGTGTAGTCTTTTAGGGAACAAAATAATATCCTTAAAACTTTAAATCTTGTGATACTGCTTCTCAACTGCTTCTGTAAGTTTAAAATATTTGGGGAAAGGAACTATAACCATATCTGTTCTTTTTATTTCTGAAGTTAATTTTATTAGCTAATATCTCTCCACTCTTGAAATTAAATAAAAATATACAGAATTGATTTACACCAAAACTTTTGTATTTAGACTGAACACATTTAGAGTAAGAGAGTGTGAATCGCTTTATAATTCTGTATGACTACTCCAAAAAAAAGACACCCAAAATACAAGAATAGGCTGGGCACCGTGGCTTGTGCCTATAATGTCAGCACTTTGGGAGGCAGAGGAGGGTGGATCACTTGAGGTCAGGAGTTCAAGACCAGCCTGGTCAACATGGTGAAAACCTGTCTCTACTAAAAATATAAAAAATTAGCCTGGTGTGGTGTCACATGCCTGTAATCTGAGCTACTAGGGAGGCTGAGGCAGGAGAATCGCTCGAACTCAGCAGGTGGAGGGTTTCAGTAGGCCAAGACCATGCCACTGTACTTCGGCCTGGGCAACAAAGCTAGATCCTCTCTCTCTCTCTCTCTCTCTCTCCCCCTGTGTGTGTGTATATATATACACACACACACATATACACATATATATATTCATATATATGTATATATAGTACATATATATCATATACATATATATCATATACATGTATATATATGAATAATTTAATGAGTGGATTACTTTCAAAGTGAGAGTTAAGAAAGGTAATTGAAGTAAACTAATGTTGCTACATGTCATGCTTTTGCATGTAGATCCAGTTTCCATATAATCAGCATTATTAGGCAATAGATGACATATCAAAGTGCTTTTCAAGATTTGTTGAAAAAGAAATTGTAACTATAAAGATTTCATCCTCAAGATATGTATTCCTTATGTTTCTTATATTCTTCATGTACAATTTTCAAACAAGTCCTCAGGCTCAAATATATGACACTTTTTATTTTTAGTAATGTATAAATTTAGCAGTAAGAGTATATTAATATCATTATTCTTTATATACATGGACATAATATAATCTAAATGACAAGACCAAGCACATTTTGAAGATAAGCTAATATACTCAAAAATGTTATTCATAAAACTATTACATCTATCTATTTTAGATTTCACTCCAGGAATACAATTCCCTGTTGTCTGTTATTTCTAGGTATACACTAATTTTTATTGTAAGTCATTTATATACATAGATAGATTATATAAATAGGCATAAAAATAAATGGTTATATACAATCTTTCTTTTTTTCTCCACTTCTTCTTAATGTATATGTTAGTTTTCTCTTTAGGTATATATTTTATAAATGCTGGCTCCCACCTTATTTTAAGGAAGTATAATGTGTTAGTCACAGATGTAAGGAGAAAGGATAAAGAAAAACTATCAGTATGTAACAAACCTGCACATTGTGCACGTGTACCCTAGAACTTAAAGTATAATGAAAAAAAAAAAGATCAAAGGATTGTTATGTAGGAAATTACAGTCATTTTCTGCTGCTGGATTTTGGTATAACTACTAAACTTTTCTAAATCAAACTTTACTTAGTTATTTAATCAAGATAGTAAAATTATTTATCTCATGAATCAGTAAATGAGTTAAAACCTGAAAAATATTTTGGCGCAGCTTACTCAATAGAAAAACTCAATAAATGTTAGAGGCTGTGGCAGGATTGCTATATGCTATATATTAGGAGTTAAGAGGCACGGTGCTTAATAGATTGGATATGCTACTTTGCATTGTGCTTAGAAGGTTGACTTGTCCTGTGCAAAAATTTAGATAAATATAAACCAGGTGTCTCACACTTATTCAGCCTTCAGGGGTGGGTCATGCTTCCCTTTAATGCCTAAATACCAATAGCCCATGTCCCTTTGTGTGTTATGGCAGAAAATCTAGACTTTTATGGGGTTTCTCTCCCTGAGTATTTCTGAGAATCCCTATAAAATGCTAATATGTCCCACAACTTTTTCAGTTGCTGCTTTTCAGTGAGCCAACTGATTCCAGAAGCCTGTAGCACTTTTCCACACTCAAACTTTGTGGGGTTTTTTTGTTCTGACTTTTTTTGAGCACATGCTGTCCCTTCCCACGGCACAGCACCACTGCTAGGCTGCATCCAGCCTTGGCCCTTACCTCCCCAAATTCAGCTAAAATCAGACTTTCACTATGCATGCCCTTAATAAAAGCTTGCAGGGCACAGAATAGAAATTCATGCAGAAAGCTTTGTATTTATGAAGTTTTCAGTGAATAATGCTGCTTTAT